AAAAGGTTGAAGCACTTCTGAAGTTATCCCAGGTTATACTTTTGCTATTACATAGAATATGATAGCGGAACTTAATATATCTTAACATTTTAATAAGTTTAATTTTTTGTATTATTTTGCAGAATTAAAATAAGAATGTAGAGGATATGAGTTCACGTGCTTTTACTCCACAGGTTTTTGTATTGTATATTATTTTTTCAATATAAATTTAGATTATATCATACTAGTTTTAAAAATAGACTTTATTTTAATGCGAATTTGTAGTCTCAACAAGGAAGTGGTATGGAGGGAGGTATTGCACCAGTGGAAAATGGAAAGTGTCAACTATTGCACTGGTACTTGGTTGAGGAGGAAATTGTAGGCTAAGGGAAGATTGCATCAATAGACCCAAGTACAAATGTGCATCACGTGCCACTAGGACGAGATTGTTGGAAGGTTTGGGTTGACGAGGTGTACATGAGTCATTAGCCCTTATATAGACCAATGGAAGAATTTCGAGTTCTTAGTGACGCCATAGGAAGTACTATTGCTTGGCCAAAGAGCTGCATTAGACTTATTTGACGAAGGTACTTTATAAATTTCTACATTTTTTTCATTTACGTATTTGTCATTAAATATTTTTCAAGAGTGGCTACATATGTGTGCATACACAAGTCTACAACCTTGAATGTGGAAGTTTGTTCATGGCATTACTAACGAGTGCACAATGGCTTCTCTTAAAAAAGAAATTGATCTTATTTTTAAAAAGCAATCAAGTTTTAATTATGAGCTTGTATTCTTGAGTGTGTGATTCAATTTTTTCTTTAAATGACATAAATCTGTTGCTATATACGTTGAATGAGTATAGACTGGTTATGTAAAAAGAATGAATATAGTTGTGTCTTAAAAAGCTTTAAATGACACTGTATTGTTTCTAAATTGCTTGCTTTTTTGATTAATTTGTTGTTATATTCTTTCTTTCTTGCAGTTACATGGAGCTGAAGTGAGTTCGAAAATCTCTTTTGTGCTTGTATCGTCTTGGATCTCGTCTATGTAAAAAGATTTGGCTGGGACTCGTTAGAAGCTTCGGTTATGAATCGTTTACATAACTTTTAGACATTTTTCATAGTTCTTTGGTTAGATGGTGTATATTTTTGAATTGAAGTATTTATTACATTTTGATGAAGTAATATTACATATCGGATCATGTTTATTGGCTTAAATGAAGCACTTTTAATTTTTTGTTGGCTTAAAGTACTTGTGCGTAGATAGTAAAAATATGTTTTTAATTCACAGGTTTAATTGGCAGGAAAAATATAAAATAATTGATCAGAAAAATAAAAATGACATTTACGACAAACTCCAGTTTCAGCAACGTGCAAGAGCACGTTGCTGAAACTTGGTTTCCTTGCAAGTTGCACGTTGCCGAAGCAGGGTTTCAGCAACGTGCTCTTGCACGTTGCCGAAACTAGGTTTCGCTACGTGCAGTGCACGTTGCCGAAACTCTTCGCTCTATGACAACGTCTCATCCCACAACAGACACCTGAACGTTGCCGTAAGTCTACGGCAACGTTTTCTGCCTGTTGCCAAAAGTGGTTTTTGGTGTAGTGATTCCACCTGTATGGCAAAGAGAACAATATTTGAATGCAAGATCTCCCCCAAGAATTACATGCATACACCACGAATATGAGCGAATACCACAATCTACTGACTTTATGGATTCGGACAAGCTATTTCTTACTGCCATTTTCTTTACTCCTAAGGTTATAAAGCACTTTATAATCATCTGTCCTTGTCGGGAAGTTCTCGTAGGTGCTCAAGCTTTGATCTCATAATAGCATGCTTATGGAAATGCCATACGAATGCACTGAATCCATCTGATCTAGACGAGACTGTTTGTCTTTCAGTCATTACCAATCTGCGTGGCAAACTAGGCCTGAATGTACCGACTGGATACTACAACAATGCTTTCATTTATACGGTGGCAGTGTCCACTTCCAAAATTTTATGCACTGCTTCGTTGTCATAAACAGTTCAATTAATTGAAAATGCTAAGGCTCAAATGAGTAAAGAGTACATTAGATCAGTGGCAGATCTTATGGTGATCAAGAAATGACCCAAATACGCAATAGGTAGGAATTTCATTGTTTCAGACATTACCGATTTAGGTTTTGAGAAGATTGATCTTGGATGGGTAATGCGGCGTTTGGTGTAGTTGCTTCGGCCACTTCAAATACTAGTTTTTTTACGAATTTCAAGAACAACAAGGGAGAAGATGGAGTTGTGGTACCAATATGCTTGCCACCATTGACTGCGGAAAAATTTAAATATGAGCTAGAAAAGATGACTTGTGAACCACTCTGCAGAATGTAATTTTCATTAGTTTGAATTAAATTATTCACCTATCTAAAAATAAATAATCTTGTTAAGGAGAATGAGTTCGGGTAATTTGGTCTTGTTTGTTGTGTTGTGTTGTTTATTTATTATTATTATTTTTTTTTAATACAGTTCAATGTTAGTGTTAAACACTTGAACTCGACTTTCATGTTATATAAGAT